GCCGCGGCGGCTGCCGCGCCGCTCGCCGGGGAGGGCGAGGAGAGGAGAGCCTCGAACAACAGAAGCGAGGTTCGACCGAAGAAGGAAAAACGCCATACACATAAGCTTTTGGCGCTCCGCGCGGATGTCTTGGATCCGAGCTGTGGCCCCACTGGCGGCGCCTCCAGCGCCACCCCTGGCGCGCTGCGCGCGCCAGGAAGAGGGGCCCAGCACGGATCCAATAAATCCGCGCGGAACGCCAAACGTTCATGTTTATGCAGTTTTCTCTTATTCTAGGTTCGAGGTTCGATGGGACGGGGTTAGGGCGAGGATAAATCCGTTCCAGAGCTTTCCGGAACGCTCTTAGAGCGTTCTGGAACGCTCTGAGAAGGCCGCGGCGCCCGATACATCTTTCAGAGCCGCCGGATTTTAGAGATTCTCGATTTATCTTCACCCGATTTTATCCTCGTCCTGGCTTCGTCTTATTCGAGGGTTTCGGGCGTTGTCGTCGTCGTCATCTTCCTCGTTGTCGCAATCGTCCCGAACGGCCGCTGGAGAGCCGAGCTCTGACGTGGGCAGCGTTAGAGGTGGAGAAGCTCAGGGCTCAGGGGAGTATGCATCGACCCCAATCACCAACTAATCGCGGACAGGGGCCTGATAGCCCACCCCACCCTCGAACAACAGCAGCGGCGCTTGCAGTGGGGTGGCGCGAGGGGGGTGGGCTTCTGAAAGGGCGGGGGGGAGCTTCTTGGGAGGCGGGTGCCTTCTCGAAGAGGCCTGGAGGCTTCTACGAGGCCTTCGTGGGTCCTGCCAGCTGCTGCCAGAGTGATGCCTGGGCCTTCTGGGGTGGTGGCGCCTGGCCTGCCCCCCCCCCCTTCCCCCCTCGTGGGGCACCAGGGAGGAATGCGAAGGGCGAGGAGGGGAGAGACACGGGGCGAGGGGAAGGGGGGGGGAGGAGGCCGAGGGCCCAGACCCCCTCCTCCTCCTCCTCCTCCTCCTCCTCCTCCTCCTCCTCCTCCTCCTCCTCCTCCTCCTCCTCCTCCACTCCTCCTCCTCCTCCTCCTCCTCCTCCTCCTCCACTCCTCCTCCTTATGGATAGCTTCTCCCTGTCGCACCCCGAGGCTAGTTTTTAGGGCGGGCCGGGCGTTCCGCTTGAGACTTCCTCACCCCTTATGACCCTGAAGCTTAAAAAGTGACAGTAGCTTCACAGATGGAGGGAGGGTCGTTTTCAAAATGTGGCTCTCGCTTTAGTGCCGCGCCCGTTCGTTTTTAACATGTTCAAGAGTTTCACGGATTGAGGGCGGGTCGTTTTCGAAATGTGGCTCTCGCCTCAGCGCCGCGCACATTCGTTTTCCAAATTTGCAAGAGCTTCACGGATTGAGGGCGGTTCCTTTTCAAAATGTGGTTCTCGCCATAGCGCCGCGCACATTCGTTTTAACCTATTGCACGAGTTTCGCGGGTTGAGGGCGGTTCTTTTTTCAAAATGTGGCTCTCGCCTCAGCGCCGCGCACACTCGATTAACAACAATTACAAGAGTGTCACGGATTGAGGGCGGCTCGTTTACAAAATGTGGCTCTCGCCGCAGCGCCGCGCACATTCGTTTTAAACAATTTGCTAGAGCTTCACGGATTGAGGGCGGTTTCTTTTCAAAATGTGGCTCTCGCCATAGCGCCGCGCACATTCGTTTTCCAAATTTGCAAAAGTTTCACGGATTGAGGGTGGCTCGTTTTCAAAATGTGGGTCTCGCCTTAGCGCCGTGCACATTCGCTTAAAACATGATGGACCCACGAACCCGGAAAGGGATATAGAACCGCATGCATGGAAACGTTTTCACGACACCGTATTGGGCGACGGGCATTTCCACGAGACACCTTGCGAAACATTCCACGAGACACGGGCGACCGTTTTCAACGTCTTCCTGGAAACATTCCACGAGACACCCCGCGAAACAGTCCATGAGACACCCCACGAAGCATTCCACGACGACAGGCAACCACTCAACCAAGGCGGTGTGGTCGTGCTGGGGAGTGGTCGTGCTGGGGAGTGGTCGTGCTGGGGGGTGGTCGTGCTGGGGGGTGGTCGTGCTGGGGGGGTAGTCGTGCTGGGGGGTGGTCGTGCTGGGGCGTGGTCGTGCTGGGGCGTGGTCGTGCTGGGGCGTGGTCGTGCTGGGGTGTGGTCGTGCTGTGGTGAGGTCGTGCTGGGGTGTGGTCGTGCTGGGTGATGGTCTTGCTGGGGTGGGGTCGTGCTGGGGTGGGGTAAAAACACACGGGTTCGTGCACCTGGAGAAGGCAAATCTTTGGGGCGCCCAGATCCCTCAAGTTCTACAAAACAAGCGATTCGCTCGAGACATCCTCGGTAACTCTGCGGAGCAAGCGTTTCGCTCGAGACATCCTCAACACACGAAAGAGTGGCTCGCACAACAACAAGCGTTTCGCCTGAGACATCCTCAAATTTTGATCCGCCGGCCCACCTCGACCTCGATATTTATCAGGGAAAGAATCCGCCGGCCCACCTCAGTTGAGGCACCGGGGACAGATTACCATCCTAAAAAAACTAGGCCCACGCCCTTTCCGGAAAAAATTGCAAAGTTCTCACGTATTCCCATGATCAACGTGCCAGAAGTGGTATTCGGGAAGGATTCAGGATTATGCGGGCGCAACAGTTATGATGATTCGCCGTGTTGAAGTCCCAGGAATGGCGTTCTGGTAGATTCCGGATCATCAATACGCAGCAGGCAGGTTGATACGTGGCGCTGAAATCCCGAGAACCATGTTTTGGTACGCTTCAGGATCTTCAAACGGTTGTCTTCCAACGAGGCAGTTCCCTCAATGGAATGAACCGTTGTAGGGGCCTATGAAGAGGGAGCTTGGGGGGAGGGTTAATTCCAACATCGTTGATGACTCTTGGGTTTACACTGGTCCTCCTCCTCCTCCTCCTCCTCCTCCTCCTCCTCCTCCTCCTCCTCCTCCTCCTTCTCCCCAAAAAAGCCCGGGGGCACTCGAGTGGGTCCCCACCCCCGTCATCAAGGGGGACCCCCGGGCGTTGGGGTGATGGCCCCAGGCTCCTAGAACTGGTAAAAACTATTCCGTGGACCTTCAGGAGGACTGGGCCTATGGCATTCCGCCTCTCTGCTAGTGACGAATCTCACTGCTTGCTTACACGAGGACGGCCTGGCAGGGGCAAGGGAGGACGAGGGAGAGGGGTGCGGGGGGCGGATGATGGGGGGATCGGTCGGGGCAGCCACGGGGGCCGTGGTGCCCGAGCGCGGCGGCGCTGCCGGGCGGGGCGGCCGTTGTGGAGGCCGAGCTGGGTGGGCCAGTGGGCCGGCGAGGCGGCGACCGCCGGCGTCGTCGTCGTCGTCGTCATTGTGGTCGTCGGCAGGGGGGTGCGGAGGAGGTGCGGGCGGCGGAGCGCGGGGGGCGGGAAACATCAGCCGTCCCCGCCGTCGGCGTCGTGGTCACGGCGCTGCGGCCGGCGTCGGTGCTTCCGCGGGCGGTGCTTCAGCGGCGGCGCCGAAGTGGCGCTTCAATTGCCCGGCTGGGAGGGCTCACTGTCCGATGGCGCTGAACACCATTCCCGCACTGCCGCGCTGGAGCTGCCGCGACAGCTGTCTCCACAGGCCGCCTCGCGCCTCGCCGGGTCCGCTTCGTCGACGTAGTGGCCGTGCGCCCGGATGAATTCCGCAGCCCCGTCAGACGGGCGCCCGAGCGTCTCGAAGACCAGCGGGGCGAGATTACACCCGCTAGGGGGGTACCTCGTCCGCTTTGTCCGTAATTATCATTATTGGCCGCCGCAGCGACGCCATCGTTGTTGGAGCACGTTTGCCTGCTAGGGGCGTAGGTAGACTATTCGCAGGTAGTGCTCCAATCAACGAAGACGTCGCGACACGTGGCGGGGTCAGGAGTGGCGATGTCCAACTTGGCAGCCTCGAGCACGCCAGTGCGCTGGTTGACGCGCTCCCAGGCTGGGACGAGCTGTTCAGTGGGAGCAGCGAAGCCTGTCAGGCTGGTGTGCTTCTTCGCGTGACAGTCCCGCATGGCGTCGTGCCGAGCGGTGCGAGACTGCCCCCACCCCCGCCGGTCCAAAGCCACGCCACACGCAATGCCGTCTTCGCGTCGGTGTTGGCAGACGGCGCCTTGCGGGCAAACGTCGCAGCGGAGACGTAGCTTCAGGGCGGTCAAGAAGTGTGTTTGTCGGGCATGGCTGGATCCCCCTCCTCCTCTTCCTCCTTCTCCTTCTCCTCCTCCCCCGATTTTCAGATTCTTCCAATGCGGGGTCCCTGGAGCTCTTGACCACTTCCCATGGACGAGCCCAGGGGGAAGTGAGAAGGGGCGGGCCTTCTCACAAGGCTCGGAAGTCCCCCGTCCTTCTGAAAAGTCTTCTAAGCCTTCCCCGAAGATGCCGAAACCTCTCAGAAGGCGCGAGGGCTTCTGAGAAGTTCCGCCGCCTTCTGAGAGGGCCTTTTCCCTCTCACTGCCCCCCCTCTCGCTTGCCTCCGAACTCCCTGGGGACGGGCGTCTCCTCCCGGATCGCTTCCTGACGGGCCCGCGGCCTGGCGAGGGCCCCCGGGACGGCGGAGACGACGGCAAGCCGCCGCCTTGATTTTTCCAAGGCGCTGGAGGTCGGGGGGGGGGGGGCCGCGTCGGTGAGCGCGGCGAGGGTGCCCCCCCCTCGATCTAGGCTTAAGTTTCTGTGGACCATTATTTGACTATTTTTGAATTTTTGTTTGGAGTACTTTTGTTTTTTCACCCAAGATCCGTCTGTAGGGGGACATGCCCGACCTAAATCTAGGCTTCCTGTATGGGGGTCCGAGTAGATGGGGTCCGAGGATGGCGCCGCATCGGCGATGCGTCGGCGATGCGGCTTGATGTGGAGCCCGAGTCTCTCGACCGGCGTCGCCGATGCATCGCCGACATCGCCGATGCATCGCTGATGCATCGGTGACGCATCGCCGATGCATTGGCGATGTGGGACAATCCTCCGATCTCATCTTCTCGGACCCCATTCAGGAGGCCTCTACTCGAGGAGGCCGTGGGTGCCGCGGGCTCCAAGACGGAGATGCTGCGCTTCGCGGTGCCCGCGCTGGGCATCTCGCTGGCCGCCCCCCTGATGAGCAACATCGACAACGGCTTCGTGGGTAGGCCCTCCCCGGTCTCCAACTTCTGGGCACAACGGAGGACCTCAGCCACAACTGAGTGTATGTTTCGGGAGGGCCCCTCGGGGAGAAGAACCCGCCGACCTCGGCGTGAGCACTTGGGTCGTGGTTGTGGCCGATCTGGCCGTCCCGGGGCGCCATGTCGACCACAACCAGCGCTGAGCTAGCTTCGGCGTTCTGACGATGGGTGGCATGCGCAGGACAGCCCCCAGAAAGCGCAGCATTGACAGCGTATCTCCGCACACGGGACACATGTTAACGAGGTTGGAGCACCGCACTGTCCCGCTGGTGGTCTCCGATGTGGTTGTGGTCGCTCGCCGTCCCCCGCACAAAGCTCTGGGGCCCACTCAGACTCGATCGACCCGAGTCTTGCAGAGGCGACTCCTCGCCCGCCCTCTCCGAGGTCCGCCCGAAAAAAGCTGCGCTCCTCAGAAGTGGGGGAGGGGGGGGGGGGCTCGGGGTTACACCCCAAGGGAGCTGTTCCCGGGGAGCCATGGCGCTGCCCCTCCTTCCTCTCCCTCCCCCCTCCTCCCTGCCTCCCCCCTTCCGCTCCCTCGTCCGAGTCGAGAGCGCACGCGTGTGTCCGAATTTCCCCATTCTGCTCAGGCATAGTGCTGCTCCGCCTGGCCGGTGGATTGCTTGTGCACCCATACCCCCATACCTTGCACTGGGCCCAGCTGCTGACTGGCTCGCTTGCTCGAGTGACGCTCCGCTCCTCGCCGAGAATAGAGGCCCCCACATCGTAGACTCTCGAGCTCGTCCAAGTTGCTTAGTCGTTCGGCCACGCGCAGGGGGGGGGCGGTAGGGGGGAGGGGGGAGGGCTTCTTAGAAGCACCCCGGCTTCTTTGAAGGCGCGGGCCTTGTAGATGTAGGGCCGGCGGCTTCTAAGAAGCAGTCTCCTTCTAAGAAGCTTTCCCCCCTCCCCCCTACCGCCCCCTCTGCGCGCCGCCAGCGCACCCTGGAACAGGTCCGGGGAGTAGCTGCATCGGTGTCGTTTGGCTTCCACTCCAGGGCCCGCTGGGACCCGATCGGTCTGATCCGACATCGAGTCTGGCCGGCTCGCTCCGATTCGATCCCGATATTTGCGGCGATTTGTTACGTTGCATCTTCGGGGGACCTCGCCTGTCTCCAAAATTGGCGTCTTCTCTTGTGTCCGACGCGGGCTCCATGCGGACTCGACGCGGATTCGACGTGGATCCGACGCGGATTCATCACGGATTCGACACGGATCCGACGAGTCTTACATGGATTCGGCACGGATTCGACGCGGATGGGGCCGCGACAGGACAGACAATGACCCACGTGGATGATGCAACATAAGATTTGGTGCGGCCCGATGCTTCTGCACGGCGTTGTGCATCCTGACGCAGCCAGTCCGATTCGATCCCTATTCCAAACCGATTCGGTCGGACGGGCCTAGAATCCAAATAAATCCGTTCCAGAGAGTTCCGGAACGCTCTCAGAGCGTTCCGGAACGCTCTGAAACGGCCGCGGCGCCCGGTATATTTTCCAAGCCCGCCGACTCAGAGATTTCCGCTTTAGATCTGTGCGATTTTGTATTGATGCTGCCTTCGTCTTTCGCAGGCCTAGAGGTTAACACCAACACCAAGATCGGCGGTGTGCCTCCACCGAGGGAAGACGATCCCGATCTCGGTGATGGTGGTAATATTCTGGCTTCCGAGGTGACCGTAATATTACCACCAACACCGAAATCGAGGATCACCTTCCCCCTGTGGAGGCACCCCCCTTGTGTTGGTGTTGGTACCAATTTCCAGGCCTCCAAAAGTACCTTCCATTCCGTAACAAGGGGGGGTCTGATTGGAGTGGGGGGTCTGATTTGGGCTGTCTTGGAGGCTGGGGGGCGGGTCTGATTCTGATGTCGAGGGCTGCCAGGCCGGTGGGGGGTCTCCGCGAACCTGTCTGGAGCTTCGAGGAGGGGGGGGTCTGCTTTTTCCCCATATCCTAAGGATTGGGGTTCTTGTTATTACTCTGACGCCTCCCACTCCTCCTCCTCCTTCTTCCTCCCGCCTCCCGCCTCCCTCCTCCCAATGATAATCACCAGATAAGACAAGACAAGATAAGATACTACAAGATAAGATAAGATAGCACAATATATGATAAGGTAAGATAAGATATATGACAAGGTAGGATAATAGATAAGATAAGACAGCCTATGGAGTAATAAGATAAGACAAGATATGATGCGATAAGATGAGTTGATATAAGATAAGCTAAGACAAGATAAGAGATTTCAAGATAAGATAAGATAGAGGGTAATAAAGGTAAGATAAGATAGGACTCGATAAGATAAGATGAGACTCACTCTCACTCAG